TTTTATAATTCTAGGATTAACTGCAGGGCTCCCATACTTGAGTAAATAATACAGCAAATTTTCTACCACCTTCCAAAATACAACAGCAGCTGGCTGCAATGTCTGGAATATTATTTTAAAATATTGCAGCATTTTCATGTATGGCTCCGTTACCACACAGTTTCCTGCTATGATAGGGCAAGGCAGGCTAAATTCAGCAAATCTTTGATGTGTAGTTTTACCCTGAGTAACCTCTATGGAAAAAATTATGAAGCCACAGCAAGGCTCAAAAAACACAGGGCATCAGATCACAGGGGAGAGGTCCTGGAAGAAAGGGTGGGGGAAGATGTTTGGGATAAAAGGTGGAAAACTGAAGCACAAGAAACTGCTCCAGATTGAACCGCAATCTGCAAACATTAGTTCTCAACTGCGGCACGTGCTAATGGCACGAGCACAGCGGTGATAGCGGAGCGGGCCAGAAACGCAGGCAAAGCGAGGCACGGGGGGGGGGGCCCCGGCGCACATGGCAGCTCAAAGGGCCAGGGCAAGCTGTGTCCTTGGCAGCACAGTGGGAATGGGAGTTGGTAACAGACTGCCAGGACTTCCCACCCCTTTTTGGCAACAGGAGCAGCAGTAGTAGCAATTCATGGCCTGATTCCCTCTCTCCTGTCCTCCTCCTGGGTGGCCTCTGAATTATGAGGCTTCCCTCTGCCGAAGCAGGATCCTTCCTAGGTAGCGTTATCGGCCGCAGCCGCCTCGCGCTCTCGGCCTGCTCCCTGCTCTTTCCCAGGTTATTTCTCCCTTTTGGGGCAAATTCCTTTTGGTAGGAAATATCCAGAGTCTGGTCTCAGTTTGAGTTTTCTTGGAAAGTTTGAGCAAAATTAGCTCAGCTGTTCACTTATGTCAGAAAGGGAAGAAAAGAAAAGCGCAGCTCTTTCACTGCAAGTTCCAAGTGGAAGTTTTGCACTCCCGTAACCCAAAACCAGCTCAAGGGGAAAATGCTAAACTCACTTTTCTTTGCTGTTTCCGGAGAGCCTTAAAAGTACCTCCAAGAAATTTGGTCAGTTAATGCTAGGGACGTGGAAGAAGCACGTGTGAAGTATTGCTGGCTACAGAAAGCCCGTCATTCGCATGAACCATCTTTATTACAGGATGCCCCTCTGCTAAATCTGCTCTGATTTAATTAGACAAAATTCAGAAGCCCTAGAGAGTGTTGGATAAGAAACTAGCATTTAGAAGACGGGAGATTTTGGAAAAATCTGCAGTTTAGTAGCATGTATAGCTCCTATTCTCAGTTTCCCTCTAGCGCCCTTAATTAAATAAAGCAGAGGGTGACTTTTCCTGGGTCCAGCAGCTCTTGGAGCAGCTGTTCTTGCTCCCCAGAGCTCCAAACCAGGGCAGAAGGGACGGGGGTGCTGCACAGTTTCCCTGTTTGCACCGCACTCTTCCCAGCTTTGCAGGACTGGGTTTTGTCTCCTCACTCAGAAAATGATTGGATTAAGGGAGAAAAATATGGTGCGAAAAGACTGTGAAAAAGAAAATACATTGAGAGAAAAGAGCTGTGCTATCAAGAAGGGAGCTACCCTAGACCGTAGTTACTCCTAAAAAAACTCCCCCCTCAACTGGTATCTTTAACTTCATTAGCTGTACCTCTCACTGCAAGCCTTTTTAAGTATTCAGCTTAAAATAAGGCTTGATACATCTGCATTAGAAAAGCCATTAATCTGTCCTACTGTGTTGCTTCTCATCTAGCGGAGGCAGTGAGTCATTTTCATGAGGAAACATGGCAATGTTTTCCGGCACACAGGACTCCGGTTTTTATTGTTGCATTCATGCTGATCTGCTGTGCACTGGTAGACAAGTTACTTCATATCTCTGCAAGGAAGTTACCCCACCTGCACAACTGGGAAACACTTTCTTTGTGATGTGTATGAGCGCAACCTGTTAAGTGTTTTATGAATAGCGATCTATGCTACTCCTGCCAGAGTTTCCATTTGACATTAACTGTGAATCATGTGTGATTTTTATTTTTTATGGACTACGGACTACAAAAGAAATTTGAAAAAACCAATAGTTTTTTCACGTGTGTGTATGCCTGCGCACACAAAACTAATTAGACTCCTACTCTACAACCTGATTCTGTTTCACTAAACAGAAAATTAACACACACATACACCTTGGGCATCTTACAAGCTGAAACCTGATGGCAAAAGCAAATTGGACAAGGACCGGTACCTACGGGCACTGTATTGCTGTTTGTAGGTCGTGCACCAAGTTGAACTAAGAGCAGGCCAGATGCAGGAGAGGCTTATGCTACGTAACGCTAACCACTAAAACACTTAAGTTTTAGTTAAACATGTGATGCTGTACTTTGCGTTAAGCACCAGCGGTGTCTTACGGAGCAGGTGGGGGGATGACAGCATAAGGCAGCCCAGAGTTGGCCCAGCAGGACTCACTCACCGCTCTGGAGAGCCCCATCTGGGTCCCTACGCTACTGCTCTCAGCAAGGCAAGGGTGGGGGCTTCAACCCATTTTACCTGACACTGCTAATGTCAAATACACCAACAGGGTTAGAGCCTCGCTGCTTTCTCCTTCCTACCACAAACACTAGGCTACAGCCGTGATCCTACTTACTTTACCCTCCAGCTCAATGAATCTTCAACTTTCAAAATCTGTCACCTTCAAACTGGAGCAGTGCCTACACCAGTGTGGTTACGGCACTCTCCTGAAAGGAAGGGCCCTTTTGCTCCAGGCAGACAGGAAGGATCTGGCTATGGGGCAAACCTTTCACTCCAATGCCATCTCTTCCTCCTCGTCCAGTCATGTTTTAAAAGCTACCAGCCACTACCTTCTGCAGCAGAGAGAAGGGCACCACCAGAAACCAGTTCACGTAGGTGTCCAGAGTGACATGAGCCAAACACACCTGTAGCTCCCAGGCCTCCAGATATCCCTGCTCTGTTGAGGCTGAGGCAATTCCTGATGCTCCCAGACACTGGGCACTAGGTCTGACCACCATACCTCCACATCCAAAGCTGAAGCACCTCCTCAGCTGCCCTGATGCTTCCAGGGTAGGATAGCTCAGAATGGGGATTTTCAAGGTCACATTGCTAGCTACTAAGGACCTAAGTCCCTAAACTGCTATTTAATTTCTGAGTTGCCCCAGTATACATTTAGACTGGTACTTTGTCCTTCTTGCTCAAAAAATGCCCGACTCAGATCAGCAGTTATATATACCTATATATATGGCAATCTATACATTCTATTTTGTATATATTTCACTATGAAATACAAATAGGATCCTGGATGGGGGCAAAACAGATTATACTTGTAAAACATACGGGTTGCAATTCTAGCATGTACTTCATATGAACAAATTGCCAAGTCTCGTTGCGTACTGTGAACAAGAACATAAATCAGCATACTTTTAGGTGCCAGAAAGAACTAACCCAACAGTTCTCTTGACTTTCCAGAGGAAGTTTAAAAAAAACCAAAAACCTCAGAACTGGCACCATCAGAATATAACCCTTACTATGTTCCCATAATATGACTTTCACATATGTATGTCTATCACTTTTGTGCCTTAGTGCTGAAAAACAGAGGTCTATAAAGAAGTGAAATTGCCTTTTTTCTTTTCCAGTTTAGATTCCCCTTTTCCCTCCTAGTTAGCCTCTTGCTATATATAGCTTGAGAAACTGTTGTCCTGTTTGCTCGATTGCTTTCAATTCTTCATAACATGCTAAATTTTTCACACTTCCGGATTCTGCGGTGATTACATACCCCATCACATGAATCCTGAATTCATCTTTCACTAGGACATGCAACACATTTCAACAGAGGAGATCCGCAGTCTCCCCCACAAGTATATGGGTGTACACACAGAGACCCTGTGCATGCCAAATTGTCGGATTTCTCAATAGTGGGAAAAATTTATTTGAACAAAGGACGGGATTTTCAAGAACAAAAACTTCCTGCATACTGTTGACTGAAAAGTCACCTGACTATCTGCCTGATGCGGCTGCGGCTGAGTCATCCTCCATTCTCCAGTAAAGGCAAAAAATTATTCATCAAAATTCTTAACGCATAAAATCAGGATAATTTTCTTTTTCTGACTGGTATAGGCTCAGAAATGATTTCAGCCTCTTGCATTCTAGTATTTGCATAAAAAATAAACATGAAAAATAAAAAATGCAAATAAAAAGCAAAAATAAATAAAAAAGGCAATCCAGAAAAAAACCTTTGTAAGACTCAACATATTTCCTGTGCAAATATATGTCTTTATATATTTGTAAGGAGCATTTAATTAAACTCCTACAGCAGAAAAAGAGAACAGATCCTGGACTTTGCTACATAAATACCAACAGTCTGAAAAATTCATTTTGTTGAGATTTTTCAGCATTTTGGTGCAAGAAGTAAAAATCTGCTTGCCATCTCATATGTCCTTCCTGGAAAATTTTTTTTTCTTCCTTATGCTGGACGACAAACAAAACCGATCTTACACTACAGCAAATTATGCAAGAAACCTGCCAGGCTAGGTACTTTCAAACTATGTCAGCAAAAGTTAATAATAAAGGAAAATCCTCTTTCCAAAAATACATTTGCTAACCCCCTAAGCAAGTTAATCCTCACTCCTTTTTAAGCTCTCTCTCTACAACAACTTCCTTTAGTCAACTAGGAAAAAACAGGAACATAACCAAAACAATATTGCTGTTCTCCCTCTGCACGACTGAAATGATGGCTGCTCATGTAAATACAGAATTTAGCAGACACAGGAAGGACCCCTACCAAAACACACGGACAATGGGCCTTCTTCAGCTTTAAAGCTCCAGCTGGCAGCATTTCCACTGGAGATGTCAGCCGGAAGATCAGTAAAGAGCTAGCAAGCAGCTTCTGCACCTGCAAACCCTCTGCTCGCACGGAAACTGTTTGCTTTAAGCACAAACTCTGCTCAACAGAGCTGGAGCTCTGGGATGGCAGCACAGGAGCAACTGGCAAATTAGTTTTTCAAGAATTATGCTGCTTACCTGCAATACAACATCATTTAGCCCAGTCCCAAAGATTTTAATAGCATCCTTTCTTTTGGTGGTATGGCTGCAAAAGCAATGATGTCATGGGGAGGAAGCAGTAACAATCATGTGACTGCATCCTCCGTCTATAGGATATCTGATAGGGGACGGAGGCAGAGAGAGACAGAGCAGGTTGTAATCCTGCAGGATTAAACTGAAAGCTTGTTTACTCTTCCCTATGTAGTTTGTGACCATTAGAACATCTAGTGCTTTTTTCCCCCTTGACCTAATTATTTTTAAAAAGGGTTTATGGATTTTTTTATTTTTTGCAACAACAATAACAAATGCATTTTTCCTGAGGAGAAAGCATAGTCAGAAGTATGTTGCATGTAAATTAACTATTCCAAGTGACACTGCAGCAACGCCCAGGTGTCATAATTATTTTCTTTCATCTTTATGAGATACGTAATCACAGCAGCTTGGAAATGAGACAAACAGCAATTTCACAGAATCGTTTCAAAATTTCATCATCCCTTGCATTTTTCCTTCTCCCAGTGCTCCATTTCAAGCCTATCTAGACTGAGCTCTCTATACCACATTCAAGCTTTGCAAGCTTACCTCAAAGGTCTAGTCCCTCTGTTACTTTTACTTCATCCTCCTCATTCTCCCACACCTGCATCCCTCCATCTCTCCTGCAGTCTTCTGCCTTTTCCGCAGTGCAACTGCTACTTTTTGAAATATCCTCTTATATGCCAGCCTATGCTTTCTTTTCAAAACTTTGACTGAAAATTTTCCCTTGAAATATTTCAAAAGCAGAATATTCTAAAATGTCTTATTAAAAAAACGCAATTGTCCCGACTTCCTCATTTTGATTAACAAAACGTTACATCTCAGAACCATTATTTTTTAGATTTTCACTATAGCTTACTCTACAGTGTATTTTTGAGTTCTACAACAGAAGAGTAATTTCAAAAGTGCTAATTGTACTAATTTTGTATGACCCTCCAGGATTACATTCTGAAATGCAAAGTTTATAACTGTTCTCCTAAGAACACAGTATAAATACTCAAGCATGTTTGTACACATGAAATGTTATGTTTGATATCAAGACACTTACCTTACTGCTCATTTTCCCTTATTTGAATACTGCGCAGATTGGTTTTACCCTTAAGGGCATTCACTGAAGTGCTTTATATTACCAAGCAGATGCAACAGCTCAGTAGAGGGAAATCTTGTATAGGCACACACAGAAATGGGAATGAGCCACAGAGAAGGCACACGTGGTTTCTACTCACCTCAGAGGTAAGGAACACAGTTCTGGAAGATTTTTTTTGTCCAGGTTTATGTGGACAGGTATTTATGGATGCGTGAAGCAAACAGTCTGGCCCAATGGATCTAGCCAGTTGATACAGAGCGTGCAAACCATTATTTTTTCAGAGTGGCTGTGTGGCTCCTCCAAATCTTGGTGTTAGGCTGGAGTACTCCTTAGTGCTGATATGATTCCCCAGCTAGAAGCCACATATTCTGGATTTTACTAGGAAATTTCAGCACTTAGCTTGCTTCACCTGAAGTTCCCAGACCTTTCTGGAGCCATCCCTGTAGTAAAGAGATTTGCCTATGATCTGCATACACAGTATTACAGATCTCTCACCATTATTCATAAATCACTAACAACCCCAGGCCCATTCTAACTGTGTCACTTAAGTATGGAAAACTGATAGGAAGGACCTAACTTCCTGCCACTGTTGCTTGCTGTCCGCTCCCATTAAAACCAATATTAATAGGCCAATTGAACTCTGTGGAGGAAGCTAAACAAAACCAAGCACTTAATTTATTTGCTCATTAATGTATCTGCAATTTTCCTTAATCAGGTTATGAGAGGCAAATCAGGAAAACAGCAAGGAGCGTTTAATCGGTCAGACATAAACATCTAAATTTGGGCACTTCTGTGCTACAAGACACATTATATGATGCTAATACCAACCACATTTTAGACACAGAACAGTAACTCGTTGCACTAATCAAACGAGCAAGAGGCTCTCCACCCCCTGTATTTTTTCCTGGGCAGAAGTTCTAAATTCAATTCCTAATTTTCTCTTGTCTATTACTGCAGCTGAACTCATCCAATCTCTTGCTGGATGCATGTTTTTAGCTTGATGGTCTAATTGCATATATACTAAATGGACAGAATACGTAATTCAATGTGGAAAATGATATTCTATAACCTAGATATGTATGTTCAACTTTGACAGATTACAAGAAATTACAACAAACCAGAAACGGTTTATATTGACATTTTTCAAAGTACCAGTCAATCATTTAATTTATTTCAAAAACTTACTACAAATCAACTTTACTTTTTGTTATTTTCTTCTAATTATACTTACTCAGTTGAGCAGTCTCATGAAAAAGAAAATATTGTTTACACGATGCATTGGAAAAGATTGCTTTTGTGTTTGCTAGCCTGTAGGTTTCTCAACTCCTTCAAAACTCCTTTCACAGATACATCCCCGTATAGTCAAAAAAGAGACTGGATTCAAAACAAGCAGTAAAGTGGTTCTTTCCTAAAAATATAATTCAGGGGAGTTTTACATCCAGCTGAAAATAAAATAACAGCTTATACAGTTCACCTAACTCCTAAAAAAGCATTTGCTCTCTTTATACGACACTTATCTTAAAGTCATGTAAAGTGCTTACAAGAACTGCAGCAAGAAATACACATACGACTTCATTCTTATAACAGAATACTCATACCAACATACCCATTATAACTGTTGTTGTTGATCCTGATGGCAGTCAGACAGACACTGTTGGTATTCCAAATGACTATTCCTAGCAGACAGTTTAAAAATAACCTGAACTGTCATACTCTCAATGCCTTGCAAATACTGGACAGAGTCATATGTCAGTGCTACAATTTCCTCCGTGTTCCTGCATCTTAGGGTAGCTGAGGGGAAACTGAAAACAGCATTTCTACAATTATCAAGGTCTACTGTCCCCTTCGTGAAAGCAGCAGTGCAGATCAACCTAAAGAAGTAAACCCGAATTTCCTTTGAGTGGCTTCCACCTAAGAATTAGCAGTAAGATGTTACAGAAATACTAACATCAAGTAATTTCCAAAACATCGTTACAGAGTACAAGTTTAACTTCCGTTAGAAGAAAGGCAGTTCAAGGTATCCCAAGCGGAACTACTTGCAAATTCTGGAAATCTTCAACTATGATACAGCCTCTGATACAGTCGTTAGCTTATCGAGAGTGCTAAAAGCATGCGGGAGGGGAGAACATCCCTGCCATTCCTGTCACTCTGGATCCATTTCAGTTCTTCAGCGTAAACTCTCTAAATTCTCTGATTTCACAGATTTCCTCTCTTTATTTATTTATTATTTGAAAATTCATTACATTCTACTAAATGACAGCACCATACCAAATGTCTTTAAGAAAGCATTGTGCATGTGGTAAATATAGACCATTCAAATCAATGTCCTATACTGTGGTACAGAACAAAACTCTACTTCTGTTTATGGTAAATTATTTTATTTTGTAGAAGAAATATTTTCAAATAATAAAAAAATGACACAATCATACAGAACTGTGACAAAAACAAGAGATGAATACTGAATATGATAACTCATTACCACATCAAAACAGAACTCATTACAGCAGCCAGAATCACGGACTCACAGAATATACTGATGATGTCATATAGCAGTCGCTACTTAAAAACAACAGAAACCCTAATAAAAAGACCACCAGACATTGCCACATTGCTATCCTGTCCCAGAATAACTTCGGGTGGAAGGGAAGTCCCTAGCCCAACCTCTGCTCAAAGCAGGCCTCATTAGACCAGGCTGCTGGGGGCCGTGTCCAGTTGAGTCTTGACCACCTCCAAAGATGCAGATGTCACAACCTCTCTCAGCAACCTCCTCTAGTATTTGACCACATTCATGGTAAAACGGTGTCGTCCGTCCTTAGTATAGAACAAGTATTTCTGATATCATTCCATGGTAACTTTTGATAAATACTACCTTTTCGTAAGGGCTTCCACGGAAAATGAGACATGTGAAATTCTGACTAACTGATCTTTTCAAGTAATGAGCACTGAAAAGCTTGCTGTCCCTAGACTTTCACCCAAACACTAACAATTTATTCCACAATTTATTTGGTTTTATCTGCATAGTTTCTGAATATCTCTAGTTCAGCCAGAGGAACCCAAAGCACACCTACCAACACACATTGGTAAGCACAGAGACATCAGGCTGGTCAGCATGATAAATGTTAAATATACTTTAACTTCACATACATTGCTATGCGATCAAATTACTCAATGCTTATAATGAACATAGGCCAAACCATTAAACAGGGAGTACTACCTTAAAATAAATGCTGTTAATCAGATTGTCCGATTAATGATTTAGGTTTACCATTTTTTTTTCCTCACTGTTTCTTGCCTCAGCTTGTATAAAGCAATAAAAGCAACTCAGTTTCATCCTTTGGCTTTTCATGATCTTCAACCACATAACACAGTAGAAGCTCCTGAAACTTACAAAACATCACTTATTTTTTTCTAAAATATTTGAACACGTTCCTTTTGGTCAGAGGTTCTAGTAAGTCTGTTTAGTATTTTGTTCTTGTTACTGTTTTGGTTTCCTGACATAAAAATCTGGAGCCAATTTGACCTGGTAACATCCTTTTAATCGAGAGACAGCATGATGTTCCTTTCTGGATGTTTCCAGAAATTTTCAAAACAGGTCTTGTGTTGGGCACCTCTCACTACAGGTAACGTATACTTAGAAAATATGAGAAACTCTATTATAGTAGCTTAGTAAGAAGTATTTTTACATACTTGCAGGATGCAAGGACACAAAACTGGCAATCTCGGGAATTTAGGGTGACAGTCTTCCACTGCAATGAATGGTCACAAGTAAAATTATTTCCTATTGGATTTTAGCTGGTCCAACTACCAATCAAATGAGCTATATCTTCCTGAACTATACACCTCGTTTCTGGAAAGCGTCACAGTTCAACAAAACTCACATGTAGTAACCTCAAAGCATATGCTTTGAGATGAACATGTGTTTAAGCACCCTTACTTAAGGCAGCTGCTT